TTTATATATATATATATATTATTTTATTATTATTTGTGTTTATATGCATATACGTATATATATATATAAAAAGCTTAGTTGAAGATGGAAGAACCGGCTAAGTGATTTGTTGAAAAATAGTCCATAAGCAACCCTAGAAAATCCTTTGCTTGGCATTGAATGCTGAAGCGGGCGAGAAAAAAACTATTGAAAAGAATAACTTGAAACAGCAGTTTCCATACATTAGAGGAATTTCTTTTTTTTTTCATGAATTAAAAAAGACAAGAAAAAATAACCCTTAACCCCTTGGGGACGGTTAATTCTGAAAAGCATTCGTACAAAATCAGAATCAAGTTGTAATTAAATAAAAAACGGTAACTTAAATGTAGTCGTTTCTTATTTGACAGACTTACTTTGCTTTTACTTTAATTATTGTTAGATTGATCATACAAGTATATATAATCAATGTTAATTCAAAGTATAACTAAATAGTTTTATTTTGAACAAAGTAATGGTGAATTAAATAAATCAAACAATTATAACTCCGCCCACAAATAAACGGGTAAAGAATTACTTGATTACCAGATTTATCTTTTTACCCTGATTGATACAGTTTTATGGTGGCACATATTTGTGACAGTCGGCCCGAAAGGGTTAAACAGCTTCAACATTCAATTTTCTGATTGGTATTAATTTGTGTTTAGGACACACTGCCCGAGTAAAAAAATAAATTTTTTTCTATAATTAGTTTCTATAATTAATTTTCGTTCAAAATTATAATTTTCTTAATTTGTCGCTCTGAAAATAAATTTTATTTTGTGCAACTTTTTCAGTTTATTGTTGTTGTTACGAGCTTAAAGCTCGGTTTTTTTCTTGTTTTTTTTTTCTGAAATAAAATTAAATAATCAATAAATTGGTCGTGATCAACATCGTAAAATCATGCACAAAATTAGAAAGAGATATGCGAAGATAATCATTCGGCATAATTCTGTTGCTCGAGACTAACTCCTGATAGTCTAAAATTACCATCAGTCAAAAATTACCAATCTCGTACTTATCCCAATCGGTAGGCTGCAAAAAACCTAACTCTCCAGAACTCATAGTAGATATCTTGATATGTATCTTAGAGTATAAATTTAAGCAGCACCTATTAACCAATATCAGTAATACCTATTAGCAAAAAGTTTTCCATTTTTCGAATTATTATTTTTAAATTGCAAATAAGACAATCTTTAAGATGTTTGCGCTCTCTTAAAATAATAAGTGTTGAATCCGGAATGATAAGCGTACTTATATGTTTTACAAAACTAATGGCAGAGTCCTGGTGGCTCAGGGGATAGAGCGCTTGCCTCCCAATGAGGTGACCCGGGTTCGATCCCAGCGATAACTGGTTGATACTAATCCTCACCCGGCTTGCACCGACCACAGTGCTTACGTGAAATATCTTCAGTGGTAGACGGATCATGGTTTAGAGTCCCCTTGTTGTCAGGCTAGCCGTGGGAGGTTCTCGTGGTTTTCCTCTCCATGTAACGTAAATGCTGGTTAGTTCCATCAGAAAGTCTTCCACAAAGGCAAATTTCTCTCAATACTTGATCCAGAAGTTCCCTTGTCTTCTGGAATGGGTACAAAATTACAAGGCTACGAAGTCGAACATTAATAGTCGTAAATCCAAAGTTGGGTCTTCAACGGTTATAAAATAAAATTACTTTATAACTAATATTATAAGTTACATAAATATCAAAATTATTAAAATTTTTGGCGACTCTTGTTGAAGTCTTGTTGTCCCGTGATCCCATTTGGAGTCGCGACCCACAGTTTAAGAAACTCTTATCTAACTAGATAGTTAAGGAGACTTGATGTAACAACGTCTTCTTAAATTTCGACGGTAGTGTTAAGTTTATGGGGAAAATGCAAATTTTTGAAGCAATCAAGCAATCGTTGAAAAATAATGCGGTTTTTTTTAAAACTTTTTATTTAATTAGTTTGAAAAATAAAATTTCTTAGTGTGTTATTTCGATGTGGTATTTTTTTTCTTCATAAAAATCTGCATGACTCAGCGAAGACATATTAAGTCTACATATGAAAGAAACACAAAGATAAATAGTTAAATTTTATGTTGCTCTCTGTTTGCAGAGATAGCCGGGCTGATGTAAATTAAACTTTGGTAGAAACATATTAGAGCTCCATTGGCATCGGGCTAGCCGCGTGAGGTATTTGTGGTTCTTACTTCCATTTTGTGCCAAGGCTACTTAAGAGAATTCTTCTTGAATTTGACTTTGTTCTTGAAACAGGTGTTCTCTTGTCTTCTAGGTTCAAGGTTAAGAAGTTGCATACTCATTATGCGGCTTGGTGCTCATCAGGGGTTTTCAACTTACGTGAACCGGGGGCCGCAATTGAAAACACCAGTCAAATGGCGGGCCGCAACTTTATCAAAATTTTACACAGGACTCTTTTATGTTTAATGGAACATTAAATTTAATTCTGTGATAAATATTTTTTTTGACTTATTGGGAATTATAGCAACAACAAAAAAATTCCCGTGCATCTGAAATTAATTTTTTTTCTCTTTTCCGCTCATGCCATATTCAATTTAAAGAATTTAAATAAAACATGATATTCATTAACCCTTCTGGCTGCGTTTTAAAATTTACAAATGTAAATAATTTCGTCCAAAATGAGTGGTTTTAAAAAGTTAAATTGGAGAAATTCTTCGAGAAAATTTCTGATACGCACATGCAGAATTATATTCACAAAATACAAAAAATAAAAAAGAGCAATATACACGAATATTTTTGTATTTGAATAAATATTTTCTTGGATGCAAAACCTGAGAAAAAATTTCTTTTGCACCTATGATATGTTAAATTTTACAAAAACGAAGATATTAGGTTTTTTTAACGAAAGAAAAGTATTTTAAACCCTTATAGATTTTTTACGAAAATTGTCTGCAAAAAAATGACAACTAATATATTTTAGTTCGCGGGCTACAGAAAAAGGCTTCGCGGGCCGGATGTGGCCCGAGGGTCGCCAGTTGGTAACCACTGTTCTAGATAGAAATTCGTGAAGTGGTATCCTAAATTATGAAAAAATAAAATTGCGCAACTAATCTTGAGCGCGTAGTTTATCACGATAAAAAACGAAAACAAAACTGTTTTACAAACATTTTAATAAATTAAAATGCCTCATTTTTGCATGAAACAACATTAATTGAAAAACTGAAAACAATTTGTATTTCAACAACTATACCTAGTTATTTTTTGTATTAAAATATCTCTCACTCCTCAACATCTTAACTATCTCTCGTTTTCTTACTTGAACTTTCATTAAACTATCTTAATTTATTACAATTAATAATATATATTAAATAACTAATTAATAAATTAAATAATTTAAAAAAATTAATTAAATAATTAAGCAAATAATTAAAAAATAAAATAATTAAATTATTAATAATAAATTAAAAATAAATTACATCTAAAAAAATAAATTAATAATAAATAAATAAAATAAATAACTAATGATTTAAGCTTGAAAAATGGGAGAAATGCATATTTTCTCACAATTTTCTTTTATTTACTTTTTTTTTAATAAATTGTCTTATTTTGAAACTAATATTTTTTTTGACGCAATCTTACATTTTATGCTTCTAATATTATTCCAAATGTAAGATTTCCTTGACACATTTAGAATCATTTTATACCTTATGTGCTTCTGGTTCTTCTTTTATTTACTTTTTTCCAGATAAAATGTGCAACTTCGATCAGTTCCGCGTTGCTGGGATTAAAAAAAAAAAAAAAAAAAAAAAAAAAAAAAAAAAAAAAAAAAAAAAAAAAAANAAAAAAGAAAAAAAAAAAAAAAAAAAAACTAATAATAGAATTTTTTTTTTTGAAAAGCATGGTAACATTTATCTACGAAAAAAAAAAAATTGGGGGGGAGAGAACATCTTAGATCTCAGGGGGGAGAGGGTGATTCTGAAGAACTTTTTTTTTCCCTCAAGATTTCTAATATCCAGCTGCTATCAAGAAGATATGGGTGATACAGGCAAAGGGAGATTTAAGAATTAAATAAAGAAAAGAAACTTTGCCATTTCTTATTTAGGTCAGGATTTTTGAATCCGGCGCCCCCCTCCCCTAACCCTGCGCCGTGACTTTCCGGATAGGAAAAGTAAGAAAGATAGGGGGGGAGCGACGCACGCGCACGGAAGGAGGTGGTCTCCCTTTCCTCCCCATCCCTCCTCCGTTCGGCACACGACGTCCCTTTACCATCCTTCATCAGTTTCTCGTGAGTACGTGCGTCGAAGAGGAACGACTCGACCACCCTTTTTCGAATAAAGCAGCGTGTTTCTGTGTTATCGTCTGCTAAACATTCAACAAGGACTATGTTAGATATATTTTAAGTGATTCTAAGAGAATGGGAACCTTCTAGATGCGTTCTAAGGCGAACTGACGGTATTTGGAAGAGTTTATAGAATCTTGTTTCTTTGTTTACAGGTATGTTGTTTTGATTACAATCCTTTGAATACATTTTCAGATAGGTCTACAATATGCGTCCAGCGGGACGCATGTGTGTTATTTTTCTTTCAATATCGCGGAAACAAGTTTTTTAAGAGTACAAAACTTTACATATTTAATCGGGTAATTAATACTTTTTAAATTATAAATAATCTTATTGTCCTATTTTATTCGAATGTGATATATGACGATTTTTTTTTTGTCTTACACAAAAAAAAAACATGGTTTGTCAATTGTTTTGAGTATTTTTTATTTTATTTTTTACCTTGCAGTATCATGTAACGATGTTTTTCAACAGTATCTTGCAGTTTCATGTAACGATGTATAGTACCATGTTAGTCATGATATCGCCTGTGTTCATGTTATTCTTTCTTATAACAAGTTTCCAGAATGAAAAATTACGAAATAACATGTTATTATAAATTGAAATGTCTTCATCTTTAATGTCAAAAAAAAAATAGTAATAAAATCGGAAAAAGTTTTTCTTTGCTTTTAGAATGTTTTTGAAATCAAGAGTAATTTTTCGAACTTCCTTATTTCCTTAATTGAGATAACGGTTTAGATTTTTATTAAAATATTGGTTCAACAAAAAATAAATAAAGAGGTAAAACATAAAAGGGTGAATATTAATAGAATGATAATGAACTTAATAGGATGAATTGACTAAGTTTAAACTCATTTATGAAAACGATTTGGTTTCAATACTGAAAATGTTTTTAAATATTATTGAAAAACAAATTCTATGAATTATAAAGCTTTGCCATATTTTCTTCTCGATTTGAAATGCAACTGTTCTAGTATTTAGTTAGTAAAATACATCAGTTTATGTAGTTTTCGTCGCTTGCGTCTCAAGGTACAAAACAAGTTCGAAACAGGTGGCTCTCTAAGAAATATATGTATTTTTAAAGTGATTAAAATAAAAATCATACACTGGATAAAAACGGATTTATTTTTACAGTACCTTTTTAATTATTTTATTATTATTTTGTTTTGTGAAACAGTTTTGGAATAGTAAGCACTTTCTTACTTTCTTTTTAGACTTGATTTTGAATAATCCTGTTTTTTTATTCATTTTTTTTTTGTTGGAAATTTTAAAATAAAAAAATGATTTATTTAAATTAGTCTTTTTCTTTCATGTTGAGTTTGAATTATACCATTACTTTTTCCTTCAAGATGTTTTTCTTAATAAGCATGTCTTTAAATTATGAAGCCTAAGTTTGTTTATATTTTCTTTAAATACATTTCAAGTTAAAAAAATTTTGAGGAAATTTATTTGATTAAAAATCCAACATATATACATAGATTTTTTTTAAAACAATGTTAAGTTTTTACTTGGAATCTCCTTTAGTTCTAAATAAAAGCCTCATTCTACATATAGTCCAATGAATTTTCGATTTCATTAATAAATTTTTAGTTCATTTTAAAGCAGTGGATTTCTTTAGTGTTTTTAAATTTCTTAATTATTATTATTTTTTTTTATTTATTTATGAACGTTGTTTCCATTTTTAAAAGTTAATCTTTTTTGAATTCTCCGATTTCACAATCTAATACAGTTTTGGTTTAATTTAGTTAAAAATTGCAATAACTAATCCCAGAACTTAGTTACTTTTATAAAAAGAAATCTCTTTCTTTTAAAAATCTATTCGAATAGCCACCATAATTTGTTTAACAATCTCTTTGATAATCTTAACAAAACTCAAATTTAAATATTTTTTTATTTATTTAATATTTTAATATTTATTTAAAATAAATGATAATTAACTAATATTTTTTTGAAAAGTGTATTCTTACATAAATTTAAATAGAAATGTACAATATTTTATAATTTTTGATTATACAAAAAAAAAAAAAAATTCATATGTAAAACTATCTTACAGGTATTAGAAACAATAAGGAATATCGAACAACAGACATTTTCTTAGAACAATCTTAATATAAATCCCCCCCAAAATATTAATTTAAAACCTATTACGATTTTTTTAATTCTAAAACTGAAACACTTATAAACTCACTACAAAATAATTATCCTGTTTGTGTACTTTAAAGTCTTCCGACATCTGCCATTAACTAATTAACTATTAAACATATAACATAAAAAAACTATTAATTTACCTGGTTGTTTTTAACTTGCTATTTCATACTGGCTGTCTGAACTAACTTTAACAGTTATGTACACAGTTTAGATCTATTCTAATCTTAGATTAAAGAGAAAAAAAATTGAATTTTCTTAAAATTTATGAACGATAATCTTACAGTATTTTCGTCAACGATTCATTTATAGAATTCTAATGGAACTTATCAGATCTGCGCATACAATTGTAGTGAAAATTGTCAGATATATAGATACAAATTTACAATTTATTGATGGAATTATGATGAAAATTATAAAGTTTAAATTTGGTTATTTATTAAATAATTATAGTTACCTCTGTCGTTACTTATCTTGGTGAGTTGATATAATATAAAACAAAAGCGTCAAAACCAACTAAACTGAGCCCAAAACAAGAAATTACACGTATTCTATGTATGCATATCATACAGTTTCTTTAGGTATTTAATGATTATAAGAGACCATGTATTGGCTACTGATTATTCGAGTATGTTGAAGACACGAACATTGGTATTTATAACCGATAAATGTGTCATAACATCGCAATGTATTGCATAAAAATATCGATATTTCACAATATATATCGTGATTTTTAAAGCAAAATTTATTTATATTATTTTCGCCCAGTCAATATTTTCGTTACTCAAACAAACTTTATCAACACTCACAACAAATCGTATTCAATGACTATCATTACGTTATAATATTCGCCATGTTATTTTTCTAATATAAGTTTTTGTCGATATACTTGACGATATTTTTACGATATTTTGACTTACTCGATAATTATAGTTAAAAAATCGCAAAAACTTTGTATTTAATGTGCATTGTTATCATTAATGATGGCGATATTGTGAATGCACCTATTATTTATATACCTTTGTGTATTGTCGATGACAACCTAATTTGGCGCTGTTTTTTACCTGTTGGCGAAATTGGCTTCATGACTCCTATATAATTCATAAGTAATATATAAGTTTGAATTAAATCTGCGAAAATATATCCCTAAAAATGAATTCGCAATCGTCGCCAATAGTTCCTTATCTAGCGCGACCTTTAAAAATCAAATTATACCAAGCCGAATTGACAATTAAAAAGCTTGAAAGCAAAGCAAGGTTACTGAATATCTTGGGGTCGGGGCTGTGGGATTTATGTTTACCCCTCTTAGGAGAATTATCCAATTCGAACTGTTTTTATCGTTATTATTTACAAATCTTTCGTCATAAACGATTTTATGAAAACGAGTTCGTCATAAACGACTTATTTTTTCATCATTTAGAATAAATTTGTGGAATTGTAAAAATCCAATTAAATATCGTTTGACTGTGTGACCCTTTTCGAAACAGGTGGTGTTTTAAATGAAAGATTTATGCGTCTGAATGTATGCAGTAAATTTTATTTTGGTACAAAACCGAAAGAAGATAATGCTATGTTTTGGACAGGGATGCTAGAACAAAAAGAAAGAGGCAGGAAAAACATCTGTCAATTATTTGACATCAGGTATCATTTAGCCCTCACCCCCACTCCAACGTTGTTATTTTCTTTGTATTAAAAGTGATAACTCTGAAAAATTACAGTTAAAAGTAATTTATTTAAAAAAATTCATTACGATTTTTAAAATTAATATTAATTATAATTTTATAATTTTTGACGACATTTTGTCTCTTTAATATGCTTGTTGGCCATCATAGAATGACGTCTGATACATATTCAGTAAAGCCTGTGTAACTCGACTACTTAAAGAATTACTTACTACTTATATTGCTTCTTACTATTACTACGTACTTACTATTACTACTTATGAATTACTTTCGTGGTCAACTTAGACAGGTGATCAACCTAACAAATAGTTCAGTCACTGTTTTTTATTTTTATTATTATTATTATTATCATTTCCTATAAGTTTCTGATATATATATATATATATCATGTTATAATGGTCAAGAAAAAGATAAATGTGTTTATATATTCTTAAAATGACTTTAAAATTTTATTTATTAAGTTCCCATTTTTTTGCTATAGTTCAGGTTAAAGGCAACAAAAAAAAGAAGTTTACGTATTTTATTAGTTGTTTATGTATTTTATTGTAAACGTAATATATTTTTGTTTTGTGTGCCTGGCAACTTCGATGCATAACTAGTTTGTTTGTGTTCTGCGTGGCTTCGTACCCATCTTTGTGTTAAGTAAGAAATATATAATGAAGGAATCGAAATTTTCGCTTAAGAATCTTTGTGAAAGAATATAGAATGTGTCATTGAAGAGAATTGATACTTCACGGGTTTAGCTTATTCAAAATAAAATGGAAAGAGCAGTTGCTAGCGTAAACAAATCCTACGTTTCAACCAATCAGGATCGAGGTACTACTACGTCACTTGCAGGTATCCCATTACAGTTTAATTAATAACTAGTAATTAGAACTCTAATTAATTATTAACTCAAATGTTCGTATTAACTCTTATTAACGATTTTGTTGTGATATTACATCTTATTAATGATTAGTTTTCTAATGTCTAGTTGTTATTAACTCTACCAAATGATCAGTCCTCTAATTATAATTATTTACTTCATCGAAACTTATTGGCTGAGTTTGGTTTAAGCGGAATCCCATTTCTAATAGCCTTTCAGAAATGTTTAGTGTGTCCAGTAGACGTTCGGAAACTATCTCTGGTTTCATTCAATCAGTGATTTTGTAACAACATTCCAGTTTATTTTCTGTGTTTCTTTGAAATTGCTTACACTCGTAAATTAAGTGTTAAATTTCTTGTCCTCTGCTTCAGATCGACAAATAGGTGTTGCAAAATGCTCGCATATTTTAATTGAAACCGACACCTTATATTTCACCATGTGGTGACAACGCAGAAGCGTCAAG